AATAAATCAATAATCGATGGCGGTGCGGCGACCCCGGTGTGCCGCTCACAGACTGTAAATAAAGTCTGGATTTTGCCGTGGTGATGTCACTCGCTCGCTCTAAACATGCCTCTTTTTGCTGAAGCGACCTGCCCGCTGAAACGTGAGAAGCAATCACGTCAAACACTTCCTGTCAGTCGTGGAGATGAAATGAGTGTTGCCTTGGTAACCAGCGATCACAGCTGTCACTGATCTCCAGCAGGTTTCATCCTCTGTGTTAACACGAGCCTCTCAGCCGATGTCTCACCGCAAACACAAAGTCCAAATATACCCACGTCCTCGAGACACATTTACACAGCAGATTACTGAGCGTGCTCAGTAACCACGAGGAGGACGCTCTCAGAGCTCGGAGGACGCTCTCAGAGCTCGGAGGACAGCTGATTTTGAACAGGACTCTGTCCCTGTGAGCGGCAGCAGGGCTCTGATGTGAAGGAGAACAGCTCCCCCTGGTGGACATTTGCTGACATCACCTGGGGACCTTGGGCTGCTTCCATCAGGCTTATTGATAATCAGATTTATTGATCTTTGTGTCATTTTTCGGCACATTTTATGGTTTTATTTCCCTTTTAAAAAGACAGACGGGTGTTTCAGACGGGTTGAGCTTCACTAGAATTTGGCCGATTTATTTTATGGGGCCAGCAAATTTGCATCAATCAAAGTCATTGATTCAAAACTCAAAATCATCAGCATGTGAAACACGAAGCTCAGGAGATGTTGCAGACAGGACGTCAACGTCCTGTCTAAGCGATGGGGCGGGGTCTGATCAACGAGCACACCTCATGATCACAGAGGAAGGTAGGGACCACACAGCAGAGGGCCGCCAATGACCCGCCAGCCACACTCTGAACCACTGGTTACCCTGTAGGATTTACAGTAACATTACCTGTGTTCACATATAGTATCTGTGGTATTACAAGTAGTATGACCTGTGTAGTATCTCTAGTATTTGCAGTAGCATTACCTGTGTACATATATAGTATCAGTAGTATTATGGACGATCCGGGGGTTTCTCTGCGAGTGCCACGTTCCCGTGGCAGCGTGCTCGCTGCTCGCTCAGATTTAAGTTTCATTTGTCGCTGTAGAAGTTTTCTTCCCACGCAGAGGGAACAGCAGACGCTAATGTTTCTGTCACTTTTTACAGAATCCAACTCAAAGTAATGTGATTACTTCCACGCTTTAAACGCTGCATGGTCGTACTCTCTCCATCACTCCATGTTATCCATTGTTGATCTGCACACGTCTGTAACCACGGACGCCGCACGCTCGTACGTCACTCATGAGACACTCTGACAAACAAAATCACGGTTTAGTAACGCACTAACGCAGCGTGCTTATGGGGAAGTAACAGTAATCTAATTACTTTTTTGCAATAGTAATCCCTTAGTTTTTTCAAGTAACGAGTAAAGTAATCAGATTACGTTACTACTCATCTGTTATTATAGGTGCTATTACCTGTGTAGTATCTGTAGTATGTACAGTAGTATTACCTGTGTACATGTCCACCAGAGAGTCCTGGAGCTCTTTGCTGGGGGTCGTCGTGGGCTGACTGGTCTCTTCTGGACTTTGTGATCTGGTTTCCCTGGAAACACAAACGCACACCATCAATCACCGCTGTCACAGTTGCCTGAGGTTGGGGGATGGAGCGAAATGCAGCCAAACAGAGAGCCACGAGGGAGCATCACTCAGGGAACCAGAGTGACGGGGAACCTTTTTCCTTTATAGTTTCTGTTTCAATAGAGACACATTTGAGCAGCACACCTACCTCAGCACCTGCCCACCACACCTGAATCCAGGTGACTGTCCACCAACTCAAACATTTATATTGTGACCTGCAGCAGCTCTGGCAGCAATAAAAACTGATTTACAGGTTTGATGGATTTTCTACTGATTTATTGATGTTATTGGTTCATTTCTTAGAACAGCTCAGAGTGAATCGTTTCCCTTATCAATACACAGAGCACAGCTAGCCCCTCTCTTCCTGTCAGCAGCTCCAACAGCCAATTAGATGGCTCCTTCATGATCCAAACCTCAAGGCGCCCTGGAATTATTGATCCAATACAGGTTTAACTTGAATTCAACTTTTACAGTTCAACTCTGGACCTAATCACTAGATTATCACTTATCAATTACTGATCGATCAGTTCAGCCTGTCTGACAGATTATTGATCACCGATCAGACAGTTCTTACTTGAGTTGGAGCTGCAGCTCATTGATCTTCCTCTTTGCCCTCTGCAGAGCAAACTGAACATCTGCCGCTCTACGCGACGCCATCGCCACAACTTCACCTGCCTGAGAGCACGCCTGAGGTCTCCGTGGTAACCAAGTAACACATCGAGGAGGAGCTGAGCTGTGATTGGCTGACAGTTATGTGAAGGTTAAATATTGATGAGGTCACAGGATCGGGTGACTCGAGAAAAACAGGATCTGTTTCACGGTGATGTCACAGTGAGGCCTGCTCTGATTGGCTGTGTAAAGATGACACAGTGAAGCCACATATTTCTTAATTACTTGTGTTTATTGATTATTTGTGAGTTATTGGCCTTCGGCATCTTGCAGCAGTTTTTCCAGCAGGGCGGTGTCCACACGGTGCTTCATCACGAACTGACCATTCAGGTGGAACACAGGTATGTCCCACCTGTACCTGTCCCACCACAGCCGGTTCTCTGGGAGGCTGATGTCCACCTGCTGCAGGACCAGCTGACACACACACACACGCACACACACACGCACACAGGTAAAATACGTGGAAAACATACAGACTTTCTTATCAACACTATTGTGAACATGGCAATCAATCACATCCCAGTCTATCAATAACACATCAGCCTCTCAGTCATCACTGATCAATCAGTAACGTGAGTTCAATTAACTTTAAACTTTATTAACAACAGTTTTCTAACAAGCTTCTCACCCGGTGTCTGAACGGCTGCAGCTGCTCTTTGGCTTCATCACACAGAGGACACGGATCCTGCAGGAAAATGTGAACTTTATTGCTATTTTCCCCCAAAAGCGTAGAAATAATACATAACCTGACTGGTATTCAAAGGGTATAAAATCTGAATTTGAATTATATTTTGGTTTTAAAAAATCAAGTCAATGAAAGTAGAAAAATGTTTTAATATATATGAATTTTATAGCATTTTGTAAACATAAACAGGGGGTGGCCATTTTTGGCCACGAACAAGCTGAGAGGGATTTTTTTGTTTTTCTGTCACTGCACAAAAAAACAAAGATGTATAAAACTCATTGATACTGTTAATTATTGCTACACATCTAACCTCCATCATGGTTAGAAAATAAATCAGTTTGCATGTATTATTTAGAAAAAAATAGTGATTTTATGCTTTTATCCTTATTTAAATCATTACAATTATGTGATCTAACTGGTATTCAAAGGGTTAAAATTCCAGATTTGATTAAAATTTTGGTCTTGATGAACAGCACTGATGCTAATCTAAAAAAATCAAGTAAAAAAATGGAATTTTTTCTTAATATATATGAATTTTATAGCATTTTGTAAACATAAACAGGGGGTGGCCATTTTTGGCCATGAACAAGCTGAGAGGGAGTTTTTATGTTTTTGCTCTCCCTGCACATAAATAACAATGCATTATAATCAATGTTGATGTGAATCAATTACACATCCCAGACTCTACTGTTAATAACACAAGAAATTTCAGTAGCAATGCAATTATATAAAATTGTGAGATTTGAGGTCGTCTTCCAGCTAGTGCAGTGGACAAACAAACTGGTGTTTAAAGGGTTAAAAATGTAAAAAGTAATAATTATTTTATATTTATGAAAAGAACTGCAGTTACTTAAAAGCTTTATGCAGAAAAAATGGCAAAAAAACATAAAAATAATAAAAATGACAGACCTAATCTGTTGGTGGCCACTTTTGGCCACGAACAAGCTGAAAGAGTCGTGATTTTGAACAAACCCAGAAGTCCAGACGCTTTTCTTTCCAAGCTCCTGAGACTATGATGTTAATGTATTGAACAGGTGTGGGCGTTACCTTGGTGAAAAGTGTGAGAGTGGGTAAAGTTCTAGTGGAAAACAGTCGGAGCTGCAGAGCTGCAGGTCCACAGAAACTCTTCATCACAAACATTTCATCTGAGAACACCAAGAGAGACACAGTTACTGACCTGCATGCAGCTGGGCCTTCAGAGAGCAAACACGTCCTCACAGAAACCAATCACAGGTTCAGCAGCAGCGCGTTCGTGCACGCCACTGTCCTCCACGCTTTAGCATCATTTCGGCCAATCATGCTGCATCTCAATTTTCATAAATGACGCCGCTTACAGCTGCACAGTCGCGCCAGTCTTTTGTATCCTTTCAGTGATACATCAGTGCCAAGTCTCAGAGTACTTGGGTTACTCAGGTTATTACTCAGATTACTGGGGTTTCTCAGATTATTACT